AGCCCACAATTAACTGAAAGTTGAACACGCAGCCCAAAATTCAAATTTTCTGAACACGCAGCCCAGGTAGATAGTGAACACGCAGCCCACAATTAACTGAAAGTTGAACACGCAGCCCAAAATTCAAATTTTCTGAACACGCAGCCCAGGTAGATAGTGAACACGCAGCCCACAATTAACTGAAAGTTGAACACGCAGCCCAAAATTCAAATTTTCTGAACACGCAGCCCAGGTAGATAGTGAACACGCAGCCCACAATTAACTGAAAGTTGAACACGCAGCCCAAAATTCAAATTTTCTGAACACGCAGCCCAGGTAGATAGTGAACACGCAGCCCACAATTAACTGAAAGTTGAACACGCAGCCCAAAATTCAAATTTTCTGAACACGCAGCCCAGGTAGATAGTGAACACGCAGCCCACAATTAACTGAAAGTTGAACACGCAGCCCAAAATTCAAATTTTCTGAACACGCAGCCCAGGTAGATAGTGAACACGCAGCCCACAATTAACTGAAAGTTGAACACGCAGCCCAAAATTCAAATTTTCTGAACACGCAGCCCAGGTAGATAGTGAACACGCAGCCCACAATTAACTGAAAGTTGAACACGCAGCCCAAAATTCAAATTTTCTGAACACGCAGCCCAGGTAGATAGTGAACACGCAGCCCACAATTAACTGAAAGTTGAACACGCAGCCCAAAATTCAAATTTTCTGAACACGCAGCCCAGGTAGATAGTGAACACGCAGCCCACAATTAACTGAAAGTTGAACACGCAGCCCAAAATTCAAATTTTCTGAACACGCAGCCCAGGTAGATAGTGAACACGCAGCCCACAATTAACTGAAAGTTGAACACGCAGCCCAAAATTCAAATTTTCTGAACACGCAGCCCAGGTAGATAGTGAACACGCAGCCCACAATTAACTGAAAGTTGAACACGCAGCCCAAAATTCAAATTTTCTGAACACGCAGCCCAGGTAGATAGTGAACACGCAGCCCACAATTAACTGAAAGTTGAACACGCAGCCCAAAATTCAAATTTTCTGAACACGCAGCCCAGGTAGATAGTGAACACGCAGCCCACAATTAACTGAAAGTTGAACACGCAGCCCAAAATTCAAATTTTCTGAACACGCAGCCCAGGTAGATAGTGAACACGCAGCCCACAATTAACTGAAAGTTGAACACGCAGCCCAAAATTCAAATTTTCTGAACACGCAGCCCAGGTAGATAGTGAACACGCAGCCCACAATTAACTGAAAGTTGAACACGCAGCCCAAAATTCAAATTTTCTGAACACGCAGCCCAGGTAGATAGTGAACACGCAGCCCACAATTAACTGAAAGTTGAACACGCAGCCCAAAATTCAAATTTTCTGAACACGCAGCCCAGGTAGATAGTGAACACGCAGCCCACAATTAACTGAAAGTTGAACACGCAGCCCAAAATTCAAATTTTCTGAACACGCAGCCCAGGTAGATAGTGAACACGCAGCCCACAATTAACTGAAAGTTGAACACGCAGCCCAAAATTCAAATTTTCTGAACACGCAGCCCAGGTAGATAGTGAACACGCAGCCCACAATTAACTGAAAGTTGAACACGCAGCCCAAAATTCAAATTTTCTGAACACGCAGCCCAGGTAGATAGTGAACACGCAGCCCACAATTAACTGAAAGTTGAACACGCAGCCCAAAATTCAAATTTTCTGAACACGCAGCCCAGGTAGATAGTGAACACGCAGCCCACAATTAACTGAAAGTTGAACACGCAGCCCAAAATTCAAATTTTCTGAACACGCAGCCCAGGTAGATAGTGAACACGCAGCCCACAATTAACTGAAAGTTGAACACGCAGCCCAAAATTCAAATTTTCTGAACACGCAGCCCAGGTAGATAGTGAACACGCAGCCCACAATTAACTGAAAGTTGAACACGCAGCCCAAAATTCAAATTTTCTGAACACGCAGCCCAGGTAGATAGTGAACACGCAGCCCACAATTAACTGAAAGTTGAACACGCAGCCCAAAATTCAAATTTTCTGAACACGCAGCCCAGGTAGATAGTGAACACGCAGCCCACAATTAACTGAAAGTTGAACACGCAGCCCAAAATTCAAATTTTCTGAACACGCAGCCCAGGTAGATAGTGAACACGCAGCCCACAATTAACTGAAAGTTGAACACGCAGCCCAAAATTCAAATTTTCTGAACACGCAGCCCAGGTAGATAGTGAACACGCAGCCCACAATTAACTGAAAGTTGAACACGCAGCCCAAAATTCAAATTTTCTGAACACGCAGCCCAGGTAGATAGTGAACACGCAGCCCACAATTAACTGAAAGTTGAACACGCAGCCCAAAATTCAAATTTTCTGAACACGCAGCCCAGGTAGATAGTGAACACGCAGCCCACAATTAACTGAAAGTTGAACACGCAGCCCAAAATTCAAATTTTCTGAACACGCAGCCCAGGTAGATAGTGAACACGCAGCCCACAAATTAACTGAAAGTTGAACACGCAGCCCAAATTTCAAAATTTCTCTGAACACGCGGCCCAGGTAGATAGTGAACACGCAGCCCACAATTAAACTGAAAGTTGAACACGCAGCCCAAAATTCAAAATTTTCTGAACACGCAGCCCAGGTAGATAGTGAACACGCGGCCCACAAATTAAACTGAAATTTGAACACGCAGCCCAAGTTTCAAAATTTCTCTGAACACGCAGCCCAGGTAGATAGTGAACACGCAGCCCACAAATTAAACTGAAATTTGAACACGCAGCCCAAGTTTCAAAATTTCTCTGAACACGCAGCCCAGGTAGATAGTGAACACGCAGCCCACAAATTAACTGAAAGTTGAACACGCAGCCCAAAATTCAAAATTTTCTGAACACGCAGCCCAGGTAGATAGTGAACACGCAGCCCACAAATTAACTGAAAGTTGAACACGCAGCCCAAAATTAAAATTTTCTGAACACGCAGCCCAGGAAGATAGTGAACACGCAACCCACAAATTAACTGAAAGTTGAACACGCAGCCCAAAATTAAAATTTTCTGAACACGCAGCCCAGGAAGATAGTGAACACGCAACCCACAAATTAACTGAAAGTTGAACACGCAGCCCAAAATTCAAATTCTCTAAACACGCAGCCCAGGTAGATAGTGAACACGCAGCCCAAAATTTCATTGGCATACAGCCCATTTCATTATCATTGGCATACAGCCCATTTCATTATCATTGGCATACAGCCCATTTCATTATCATTGGCATACAGCCCATTTCATTATCATTGGCATACAGCCCATTTCATTATCATTGGCATACAGCCCATTTCATTATCATTGGCATACAGCCCATTTCATTATCATTGGCATACAGCCCATTTCATTATCATTGGCATACAGCCCATTTCATTATCATTGGCATACAGCCCATTTCATTATTGACACATATATTCATTCTAAATGCAGGGTGGTTCCCGCAGTGTGCGGGGATATGGCTCCACCATGGCGCGGGATTGGTATGCTGAGCTCCCGGAGGGCGTCAGAGACTTAGTAGACTTGGCGGGGTTTGGCCCCTTCTGTGCCGGGTTGTCACGCTGTCCTGCCAGAAGGACCTTGATGGCAGCTCTAGTAGAGAGATGGTGGGACACCACCAATTCCTTTCATTTCTCTGCTACCGGGGACATGACCATGACCCCTTTTGACTTTGCTGTATTGACCGGCCTTGATGTCGGAGGTTGGGCCATCCCCTACGATGAGGATATGGGCGAGTAGGAGGCCGCCTGGATGTATTTGTTGGGGGCTCGCCCACCTGTTGATAGGGTTTCAGGGAGAGTCAGATACACTTGGTTCTCCTCCCATTTCCGGCGGGCGGAGATGGTGCCCGAGACTCCTGAGGAGACAGAGCAGTATGCTCGTGGCTTCCTGATGTTCCTCTTCGGGACTACCCTGTTCGCCGACAAAGGGAACACCATTGGGCTATATCTGCTGAGCGCTCTAGTAGACCTATCACAGGTCTGTAGATATGATTGGGGGGGCACTGGCCTGGCTACCCTCTACTTTTACATGAGCGCGACCTCCCGCGGGCGGGGTGATTTTCTTGGCGGCTACTGGAGAGCTTGGGAGGTACTTTCTGTCCCCTTGATTTACATTTCTGCTTCTCAATACTTGTACATTGCACACACAGTGCACTTTTACAGTATGCATTTTGCTCTCAGCATCTCATACTTACATTCTGCACTGCTTTTCCCAGCTATGGGTGTATGTATACTTCCCATCGTTAGCCCCAGTGCTGGAGGTGGTGGGGATTCCCGTGACCCCATATTCATTGATATTTGAGGGCCCGCACCGGGCGAGGCCTCGAGAGACCCTGGTTCGCCTGCGACAGTACTTCGACACTGTGCGACACTCAGAGGTACTCCAGAACTTACAGTTCTTTTCATTTTCATCTTTGACTTGTTCTGTATATCCTCGTTTTCTGATTGGTTTATACATTCATCATTCGCAGATTACTTGGCAGCCTTGGGCACCCCTGGGTGATGATCTCCTACTTCAGTATACCGGAGCATCAGGCATCTCCCGGTATAGGGTCCTGCTCGAAGGGCCAGTTGGCAGAGTCTGGTTCCTGGGGGAGCGCTTTCTGCGCCAGGTACGGGGGTATCTTTCTCAGGATGTTCCCGCGGTACCTCCAGCTAGTATGCGGACCGCTGACAGGCTCTCTTACTCAGAGGTAGTCGGCGCCATGCTGGGCAGCGATGCTTTGCTATATGTTGCGGAGGGGGACTACGCCACCTATCGTCACATATATTTGATGCCTCCATTGACAGAAGCTCGTATTCCGATGATGAGACCTGCCGGTATGTCATCCTCGGACCAGGCTCAGGCTCGAGCTACAGACATCCATTCTTCTAGCCGGGCTGGCACATCTAGAGGTGGGAGTAGACCAGCTCCCCCGGCTCCGTCGATTCATCCTCATGTCGGATGGCCAGATATGCCCACTGAGTTGATGGCGTGGCAGTACGGGGCTAGTTCTCCGATTCCGATTCCACTAGAGCCTCTGATGCCCAGTGATCGATACGCCATTGATCCGGACTCACCGCCGGTATGCTCCACTTTTCATTCATCATTCAGATGTTTAGACACTCTTCTGTTCACTGATAATTATGAGCTCATTTTTGCAGCCATCGCGAGGATACATGGAGGAAGTGGTTGGGCTGGTGGCCACGCTCGAGGGCATGGTCCTACGCAGGGAGGCACAGTTGTCTATCGCAGGCATTCGGGTATCTTTCAGTTTTCCTGGCATTTATCATACTTCTGATGACATGCTGATTTCTACTGCATTGATAGACTATTTGTGTAGAGCACATCTGACACACACCTCGCTTGTACACTGTATTTACATGCACCCACTTCATGTAGCCTGTGCTTATATCTGTATCCGATGTACATGTTTGGACTGATGTATTTGATTTGAACTTCTTGTTTCCAGATGCCTACATGGTCCGGTCAGCCGCAGGCCAGGCCACCTGGGCCTCATTGGGGAGCTGGGCCATCTGGGCCTTATCAGGGAGCTGGGCCATCCGGGCCTCATCAGGGGGAGGGGCCATCTCGACCTTCCCGAGGAGCCGGGCCATCTAGGCCTTATCGAGGAGCTCGAGGAGGGCTTGTCCGCAGACGCAGAGCTCATGTTGTGGAGGTGGAGCCTGATGAGGAGGAGGAGGAGGAGGAGGAGGAGGCTACCGACCGTCAGTTCGAGACATCTGTTGAGGAGGGAGGCTCCGGTTTTGGCTCGGGGAACAGAGGCGAGGCTGAGGAGGATCCTGAGGATGACAGCTCCGACTCTGACGATGGTGTGGAGGTTGTCCCGCAAAAGAGGACTAGGCGTGCTTCTCGTTCCCGCTCTCGAGGATTTTGACTCTGCTATTTCCATGCTTTATTTTTCTTTTACTAGTAGTTTGTAGCACTTTGCACATTGTTAGGCAGTTTTATTTTTGTAAAACTTGTACCTTTATTTGTTGTAAAACATGATGAAATGAAATAGCTTTTGGAAAGGTGTTTGTATTTTGAACTTTTAGCATCATATCGCATCATTTACTTTGCACAAAAATGAAATTGAATGGTAATGCGCATTGTAATCACCAAGTCAGGTAGTGAACCGACGCAACAAACTAAACAACTCAACCTACTAAGATATAACAGAATCTTTAGTAAGTTTACAACTCGATAAGCAAAAGGCAATAACGCAAATAAACAAGACTTTAACAAAAATTGCTTAAACAGAGAGCAATGACTCAAAAACACAAAACACGTCCGCTCGACAAACAACTCGATAAGCAAAGTACAACAAATCGATAAGCAAAACTCAACAACAAAAGGTGTACTTCTGACGATCTGGGCATCGGAATGCGTCTGAAATGAAGGCCTTCGACTCTCCCGTTGCATGGAAATGCTTGGAGTTCTCCTTCGAAGAGTAAAACAGGGCCGAGGAGACACACCGCAACATTGCCGGCCATCCCTGGGAGTTGGCCGGCCAGAGATATGCCACGGCATGGAGGACTAGAGAGCTTCTGGCCCCTGCTTCAACCTTCAGTTGCACTTTGTCAGATGAATGTGTGGATTGGCTCAAAGAGGAGGTACAAGTTGGGCCCAGCTTGGCATCAGATGCTCCGTCCAGCTCTGGAAGGGGACACAGGGATACTTGATTCAACTATGCCCCAAATTTATTGCTTATTTAGCATTTTCAAGTTTTCTTTATAAGTGACCGTAACTAAAATAAGCAACCTCGATTGTAATGCAAGAGCAGAGAACTCTATTTTGAAATCAATGAAATTGAAAGTTATGGTACTGAAAATTTTCCACTTTTGGTCCAAAAATGGTCTAAGTCGTAAAAAGATTGATTTGAACAAAGTCAACTTTTATTAAAACTTTTCAAAACTATTTTCGATGTGGATCAGAACTGGACAGCCGAAAATCTGTCACTGATGCACAACCCCAGATCCCTGCAACTGGAAAGTTGCCCCTAGTCTGAAGAACAATGCGGCACTCCAAAGCAACGGAAAGTTGCCCCTAGTTTGAACAGCACTGTACCGGAGATCACGGTAAATGCTGATAGATAAAGATGACTGAGATGATCGAAATGGACAAAGTTGATCGGGGAAAAGTTTATGACTGAACTTCAAGACGAAGCTGCCTACGTATCCCAAAGATGGGAATCAAGTCTTACGTAGTTCAGGCTTAGGTTCGCTCGAGTATTTTCACTCTCCTTTTGCGCTCTAACTTTTGCCAAGGCCGCCCTTTGCGGGTTTTCAACCTTGCGAGCTCAGTTTTTATATTTTCTAATTTTTTGTGCTCTGAATCTTGCCTAGGTCCCCTTTCGGGTTTTCGGCCTAGCGAGCCTCTCAAGGATAGTATTTCTTCAACTTGTCCATATTGATCGGTTGTGAGAACTCCAACCATCTAGATCCATCAGAACCACAGCCCCACCTGACCAGATAGCTTTGATGATTAAGGACCAGTCCAATTGGTTGAACTTGCCCCTTGGGTCGTGGATGGGAGCTCGGTTGTCTTTGAGCACCAAATCTCCTCTTTCAGATTCCTGGACTTAACCTTCTTGTTGAAAGCCGGGCATTCTGCGTTGATAGCCTTGGATGTGGTACAGTGCTTTCAGTCTTCTTTCATCAAAGAGCATGAGTTCTTCGAATCTGCTTTGCTGCCAATCTGCTTCGGCTATCTGGCATTCAGCCAATACTCGTAATGATGGGACCTCAATCTCAATGGGTAGAAAGCCTCCATTCCATAGACCAATGAATATGGAGTTGCTCCAGTAGAAGTTCTGATTGAAGTCCTGTAGCCCCACAGAGCAAATGGCAGCTTGTCTGGCCAATCTCGATAGGTTTCCACCATCTTCTGTAGTATATGCTTGATATTCTTGTTGGCGGCCTCAACGCTCCGTTGGTCTGCGGCCTGTATGTAGATGACTTATGGAAAGCCACATTGTATTTCTCCAACAAGTCTATCACTTCTTTCTTGAAGTGGGAACCATTATCTGAAATTATTCGTTTGCACCCCGTAGCGACAGATGATGTTGTTCCTGATGAACTTTGCGACATGCGACGCCTTCAACACTGCGTATGATTGGGCCTCGACCCACTTTGTAAATAATCTATCGCTACCAGGATAAACTCATGCCCGTTTGACCCCTTCGGGGTAACAGCTCCGATCACATCAATTCCCCAGACTGAAAAAGGCCACGGCGAAGTCATGTTGTATAAGTTTTGACGGCGGGATGTTCATGCGATTTGCATGAATTTGACATTTGTGGCATCGCCGAACAAAACCATGCAATCCTCCTCATGGTTGACCAGTAGTAGCCCTGTCTGAGGATCTTTCTGGCCAGCATTACTCCATTCATGTGTGCACCGCACTCCCCCCCATGGATGGCTTCCATCAGGCTTTTGACTCTTCAGCTTCTACACAGAGCTTATGCATTCCCAGATGACCCCTTTTGTACAAATTTCCCCCCAGATAAGAACTGAGCAGCCATTCTTCTGACAGCCCTCTTATCCTTGGCATTTGCCCCTAGTGGATATGTCTCCTTTTCCAAGAAGTTCCAGATGTCGTAATACCAGGGGTTGCCGTCTTGAACCTCATCTATGGCGGAAATCGACTCTATGCCGGCGCAAACTTCTGATCATAATGACTGGACGCATCCGGACTCCGGACGGGATGTCTATCATAGAAGATAGAGTTGCTATGAATCTGCAAACCTGTTGTTCTCTCTTACGAGGTGGGTGAAATTTAGCTTCTCAAACCGAGGAATTAACAAATCCAAGGTTTGGTGGTAGATTATCATCCTTTCCTCTTTGACCTTCCAATCTCCTTTGCTTGAGACACAACAAGGTTCGAGTCCCCAATGACGTCCACTCGTCTGCCCCTAGTTCCAGGGCTGCTTCCAGGCCAGCAATACATGCCTCATACTCTGCTTCATTGTTGGAAACTTTGAACCGAGCTTGAATGCTAAAGGATACGGGAATCATCAGGCGCTATCAGCAACACCCTATCCCATACCCATACTGGTTTGACGCTCCGTCAAAGTACATTGTCCAGGTTTCATCTTCAACGTGCAGAATGGCTTCTCTGGGAATAGATACTCAACCGCTTCATCCCCCTCAACCGGGTGGTCGGCAAGGAACTCCGCTACCGCTCTCTTTTACTGACTTGCGCGTTACATACTTCAAATCAAATTCGGAGAGCAACAGCAGCCACGAGCTAGCCTACCCGTAAGTGCTGGTTTCTCGAAAAGATATTTGATGGGATCCAACGCGAAACCAACATTACAGAGTGGCTAACAGGTAGTGCCGCAGCTTCCTGGTTGCCCATACCAAGGCCAAACAAGCCTTTCCAGCGGTGTATAGCGGGTCTCGTAATCAGCATCTTTTTGCTCAGATAGTATATGGCCCTTTCCACTTTGTCTTCTGACTCCTGCGCGAGCATGCAGCCCATGGTGTCTCAGTTACCGAAAGGTACAGTATCAACGGTCTCCCCGGCTCTGGCGGTGACAACACGGTGGGTTCTGTAGTACTCTTTGATTGCTCAAAGCTGCTTGACATCGGCCGTCCCATTGGAATTTCTTTCCTTTCTTCAGGAGACCAAAAAGTGGTTCACAAGTCAAGGTTAATTTGAAATAAACCGTCTTATGAATTGCACTTTACCCAGAAAGCCTCGCACCTCCTTTTCAGTCTTTGGTGGGCATTTCTAAGATGGCCTTGATTTTGGAAGGGTCGACCTCGATGCCCTTTGTGTGATCAGAAACCCTAACATCTTCCCTGCTGTAACACCAAACGTGCATTTCTGGGGTTCAGTCGCAGCCGAAACTCTTTGATCCTCTGAAAGAATTTTTGTAAGGCGGTGTAGTGGCCCTCTCTATCTTTGGACTTGACAATCATGTCGTCCACGTACACCTCGACCTCTTATGGATCATATCATGCAATATTGTAGTTGCTGCCCGTTGATACGTAGCTCCAGCATTTTTCAACCGAATGGCATCACTCGATAACAATATGTACCCACGGGGTAGTGAACGCAGTCTTCTCCCGGTCTTCGGTGCCATCACTATCTGATTATAGCCTGAGAAACCATCCATAAACGAAAGCAAGGCGTGTCCTGCCGTGAAATCCACCAATTCATCGATGTGCGGCAAGGGGAAGTCGTCCTTCGGACTGGCCTTGTTCAAATCTCTGAAGTCTACACAGACCGAATTCTGCCTCCTTCTTTGGCACCGGACTATGTTGGCCAACCAAGTTGGATATTCAGAACCACAGAACCTGCGTCAATTTGTTTGGTGACCTCTTCCTTATCTTGAGGGCCCAGTCCGGGCGAATCCTTCTGAGTTTCTGTTTGACAGGGGGGCCTCTGGATCAAGAGGGATCCGGTGCTGTAACATCTCAGGATCGATTCCAGGCATGTCTTCATAGGACCACGCGAAACATCTTTGAAATCTTTTAATAAAGCGACTAAGCGCTCGCGCTCCTCTGAAGACAACGTGGACCCGATCTGGACCAGCCGCGGGTCCTTCTCCAGATAAACCATAACTATTTCCACCACGACGCTCAGAATGGTCATCTATATGACCCAGTTGAATATCGGTTTTTAATCCAATATAATATCTCCGGCTCACACTTAGTCTTACTATAAGATGATTCGTGTATTGGACAATAAATACTGTAGGCGGGAGGTTTTCTTGGCGCGGTCGCTTGGTTTTTCGGAGTAATAAGTTTTAGTAGAAACGAATCAACTGCTTACTTAATATAGGCATCTCAGATCAGGAACAGGCACAGAACAATATGACTTGATTCTCGGATAAGCTCATACTCTCGCGATCAGAGACTTGCCACTTTTAATTACTATTTCAAGCCG